GACATCAAGGGAATTCACGACACTGCAAATTTCTTTTCGAACTCGTAAATGGAAATCCGTCTGACAAAAATTTGTTTCGATAGGCATTAACTAAAAACAGGAAACATTATCGAGTGGAAATGTGGAGCTCAGACTATTTTTGCAATCAGTTTTATCATTGCAAAATTCATCGTGCATGCAAAGGCTTCTTCATCAGTTTTTTTCTGTTCCTGTCTTGCCATATATTATCCATAAAGTCTCATACTCGGGTTTCGATAAATTGATGATATCCTTATACAAAAAAGCAAACCTATGAATCCTTGTTCTTTACTACAAGTACGGAAATGTCACGACAATACCAGGGTGCTGACATGATTTCAGTTCTTGCATCCATCAGTATCTTGACAGCCCATCATTGTTTTCGTTGCAAGTTGTATATGACAGATGTATCCGAAATGTATTCAGAAAACCTTATTGGATAATAAAATGTCACGAAATGAACCACAATTGGCAGAGTGCGTTATGAAATCCAATAGGGCTGCGTTGTAGCAATTATCAATCTTGGCGCCTATTTTGAAAATCTTAGAGTAGCTCGAAGTGCTGTCTTAACATGAACCAAAGAAAGTTTTTCAGATATCTCAAGCTACTACTTGGGATCGCTCTACTTTTCTCTTCTGTCCTTCCCCTGGATAGTATTGCTTTTGGAGATTCTTTTGTAGCTGAAAATCTCAAAAGTAGAAAGGTATGTCATTCATTACTGACTCAATAGCATATAAACCAGTCGTAAGATTTCTTTCTTGACCTTGCATTTCTTGATTGTTTCTAGTTATGCGATAAATCAAGAAATATCAATAAGGTACCGACCACTACAGAGGAGGATTTTATAGAGAAAGAAGATGCTTATTCAGACGGTTCAGATGTAAGTTTGGTTTAAAACCGAGGTTATATATACTGTAAATGATGTTCTCAGTATTTTTCGAACGCGAAAATCGAGGAAAATTAGAACCTGCCATTGTGAACGAAGTTGAATCACGGTCTTTTACTAAATATTCTTCC